CCACTCTGGGGTCTGTGACGTGGGCATTCTTCATAAACATTTCTCTGACTTTATCTCGTCCCTGTTTCACAGTGATGTCCAGCTGGAATTGGTGCACTAGAGAGAAAAACATGATTCAGGGTAGAAATTGTACGGCTAAAACATGTTTTTTAAAACATATTTTAAAAAAATATCAACGGATATTCATTGAACACATACAGGTCGCCCACCATTCCTTCATTAAAAATTAGCCTGACCCTAGGCTAGGTGACCTGTGATTCATGGCCTTTGCTCTCAAGGAATTTATTATTTTGTTTGGGGAGAAAGACCACGGAATTTTTGGGAAGAGGCAGTAAAGCATTGTTCAAAAGTTTGAACAACCTGGGTTTAAATCCCAACTCTGTTAGCTGTATGATCCTCTGTAAGTTAACTTTCTTGTGCCTGAGTGTTTTTTTTTTTTTTTTTTTTTTTTTTTTAAGAGACAGGGTCTTGCTCTGTTGCCAAGGCTGGAATGCAGTGGTATGATCAGAGCTCCCTTCAGCCTTGAACTCCTGGGCTCCCACGATGCTCCTGTCTCTCAGCCCCCCAGCAAGTTGCTAGGATTACATGTGTCAGCCATTGTGCCTGGCTGAGTGTATTTATCAATGAAATGAAGACAATAACAGCACATATAACTCTGATGGAGATTTCATGAGACAATGCAAAATGCTCACAATAATGCCTAACATGGCATAAGCTCTCAATAGACATAAGCTTTTTTTTAGTGAGACGGAGTCTTGCTCTGTCATCAGGCTGGAGTGCAGTGGCTCCATCCCTGCTCACTGCAGTCTCTGCCTCTTGGGTTCAAGCAATTCTCCTGCCTCAGCCTCCCGAGTAGCTGGGACCATAGGTGCGTGCCACCACACCCAGCTAATTTTTGTAGTAGCATTATTTTTATATGGAACAATCAGCAAAAGAAAACAGGATTGAAATTGATAATGTAAAATGATGTGGCCTAGGCTATTAATTACTATACAAACTTTGCGTTGAGGGAGAACTGCTAGGGGGTTACACAGGTCAGGGAGGCTTCAATCCAACAAGCAGTTAATACCATCTTAGGTTACTTGGTGGAAGCAAAGTTGATGATGTAGGTCCACTTGTCTAGTTGTTACATTCTGACTGGAGAGACAGCCAGCTAGGACAATAACCATAAAATCATAATATTCAACAACCCCTGATTAAGCTCCTAAAATAACGGCAAAGACGCAGTGACCTGGAACTTTGGATGAGGCGTAAGGATGTCTTTTGAAAATTAGGTTTTAGGCTGGGCGAGGTGGCTCACACCTGTAATCCTAGCACTTTGGGAGACCGAGGTGGGTGGATTACCTGAGGTCAGGAGTTCAAGACCAGCCTGGCCATCATGGTGAAACCCCATCTTTAAAAAAAAAAAAAATGAGCTGGCCATGGTGGTGAGCGCCTGTAGTCCCAAGCTACTCGGGAGTCTGAGGCAGGAGAATTGCATGAACCCAGAAGGCGGAGGTTGCAGTGAGCCAAGATCGTGCCACTGCACTCCAGTCTGGACAAAAGCAAGACTCAGTCTCAAAAAACAAACGAAAAACAACAGTAACAAACATCAAGTCAAATAAAGAAAATAACAAAATATTGACAGTCCTTGACATCTGTACTACCCTTGACAGTTTAGACGGAATTTTCCCCAACCCTTCTTTCATGCAGTACAGTGGGCAGCACTGAGAGGGATACCGAGGTGGGAAAACAGCTTCTGCACTCTGGGAGCCTATACACAAATGCTTCAGACTAACGGACGGGTTCTGCCACCTGAGGGAGGGGTTAGCAGGGAGCAGGCCAGCAGCGGGGAGGAGGAAGAATTCAAGGAATACTAGAGGCAGGTAGAGTTTGGGAGCGAGGTTTGGGAAACTGGAGGGAAGTGAGGCCATTTCAGCTGGAGGGACTGGAAAAGGGACTCTTGAGAAAGTCACCTCCCTTCTGTGGTTCAGTTCATTTTTCTGTGAGGGGAGTGGGAAATGAATGACCGCTGAGATCCTATGGCCACTTTGCTTATAAAACCTAACGGTGACGGGTAAGGTGGCTCAGGTCTGTAATCCCCACTTTGGGAGGCCAAGGCGGGCAGATCACTTGAGGTCAGGAGTTCGAGACCAGCCTGGCCAACACCATGAAACCCCGTCTCTACTAAAAATACAAAAATTAGCCCGGTGTGCTTGCACATGCCTGTAGTCCCAGATACTCGAGAGGCTGAGGCAGGATGATCTCTTGAACTCAGGAGGTGGAGGCTGCAGTGAGCCGAGATCGTGCCACTGCGCTCCAGCCTCGGCGACAGAGTGAGACTCAGTTTCAAACAAACAAACAAAAAATCTAACGGGCATCTGTAATCATACTCTGCAGCTCCAGACTTGGGGTTCCAGGTACACCAGTGGCTCGGTTTGGGCCCAGGGCACACCACTTCGCCTCTCCGTGCCTCCGCTGCCTCACCTACAAAATAACTGTGTCACTGACAGTCCTCGTCCTCCCGCCCAGCGGCTCGGTAACATCTACGGGGACAAAAGAAATCAAAGCTCCGAAGGCGCCGTACGGATGCCGGGTCCGGCCCAAGGCAGGCTCGGGTGACCCTCTTCCCCTAAAGCACCCGCAGTCGCTTCTCCTGAGGTCGGCCCGTGAGAAATCCCGGTCCGGGTGGCTACGACCTTGAGCGGCGGCCTCCGGATCCCCACGTGCGCCGCTACCTCTCACCAGTGTGCGGCACCTCCCGATACCAGGCGCGGTAGAGCTCGCGCACTCTTCGCTTGGCCTCGTTCATGTCCCGACTGAAAATGGGCTTCACAGAGGTGCTGGCAGCAGTCGCAGCTCGGCGGACGCCGATCCCCGCCATCTTGCCAAAACATCCACTCCACAACTCCGCCCCTTCGCGAGCAGCGCGGGCGGCCCGAGGGCGAAAGTCTCTTCTCTTTGGCTAAGGAGAGACGTCCCGCCTCTGTGCTGGGTGGGCGGGAGGATGACTCTAAGGCTCTCCGATTGGCTAGGAAGCATCTCTCCTAGGTGGGCGGGTGATGGGGCTGCGCAAGCTCATTTACAGAAGCCCCGCTTGGCCATTGGGCAGCCCAGCTGTCGCTCTGACGTGCCGGCGCCGCCGCAAGGTGGTTGCTGGGTCTGGCGCTGGCGCTGGGTAAGCGGAGCGGCGGCGGGGCTTCCCTCGGCGTCCGGGTGTCCGGCTTCCTACAGCGCGTCCTGGTAGCGTCCGTGGGCGCACAGGCCTCGAAGAACCTCCTCGAGGCGGGCACCCGAGGTGGCGGCTGAGGCAGATAATGGCGCCTGGGCTGCAGTGGCGCTGGCCCTGTCGCCTGGCGACCTTCCCCAGGGCCAGGATATACTTACTTTTCTGTAAACCAACTCTTCCTTAGCGCCGAAGAGGCGTTAAAACGCTGGCGCGTCTCCAGAGCCCCGGGAGGAAGGCTGTAACGACAGCCCCATCGTGGGCAGGGACATTCGCACCCCGAGCCCTGGATCGCTGAAAACCAGTCCAGAATTTGGAAGCTGGAAGGAACCTTAGAGCGTCCATTCTGGGTGTCTCTTCGCCGGCGTTTTCCCACTGAGGTTATGTAAACATCAAGAGGAGCCTAGAAGTGTAAAGGAAAAAAGGACGGCTAACCACAGGGCAGACCGTGGGCAAGATACCTTCGTGTTCTCCGCTCTCATAGGTCAGGTAGGTACCGCCAGAGTCCCCGTTTGACAGGTGAGGAAACTGAGGTGGCCCAGAGTCCGGGTCACGGGACAGATCCCCCCAACCCCCACCCCCACCCCCACCCCCACCCCCACCGCCTGACTCCTGCCTAAGAGTCTCGGCTTTTTTCTGAAGGTGCAATTGACAGGAGTCTGTGAGTATTGGGGAAGGGGCCAGGGGCCAGGGCTGAGCTTACCCTGCATCTAGTCCAAACTTTCCCATTTTGAAGGGTTAAAAAACCAGATGTACTTTACTCAAGTGAGCTATACAAAAGAAAGCATGTAACATATGTAAATTTAAAAGCATAATGGTAAAATGGAAGCTTTCGAACCTCAGTACCAACTTAAGAAGCTGTAACAGTAAAGGTTTACATAAAGTGTCCTTAGATGTCCTTAGTAGCCGGTATTCTCTAGTTCTTTAGGTATTAACTTGTCTAAGCCTCCCAACAACCAGTTAGATAAGTGTTGATATACTCTTTTCATTTTATTTATTTTTTTGAGATAGTCTTGCTCCGTTGCTCAGGCTGGAGTGCAATGGCGCCATCTGGGCTCACTGCAATCTCCGCCTCCCAGGTTCAAGCGATTTTCCGGCCTCAGCCTCCTGAATCGCTGGGATTACAGGTGCGCACCATCATGCCCCGCTAATTTTTGTATTTTAGTAGAGACAGGTGACCTCTAGTAGAGGTAGTTTGTGTTTTAGTAGAAAAGGGTGACCTCAAGTGATATGCCCGCCTCAGCCTAGCAAAGGGCTGGGATTACAGGTGTGAGCCACTGTGCCCAGCCAATATACCCATTTTATAGATGAGAAAACTGAGGCACAAAGACTAAAAGTCGGTTTTCTGACTCTCACAACACCTATACCATGATATTTTTCTGTGTGATTCTAACGCCTCTGTGCGCCTGCCTCCTTCAGAAGTACCCACTATCATAATAAATTCATTGTGTTTAACATTCCTTTTCACTGGAAAAAAAAAAAAAAAGGGACGCAGTGGCTCACACCTGTAATCCCAGCATTTTGGGAGGCCAAGGCGGGTGGATCACCTGAGCTCAGGAGTTCCAGTCCAGTGTGGCCAGCATGGTGAAACCTCATCTCTACTAAAAATACAAAAATTAGCTGGGCGTGGTGGCGCGCACCTGTAATCCCACCTACTAGGGAGGCTGAGGCAGGAGAATCACTTGAGCCTGGGAGGTGGAGATTGCAGTGAGCTGAGACTGTGCCACTGCACTCCAGTCTGGTCGACAGAGTGAGACCCTGTCTCAAAAAAAAAAAAAAAAAAAAAAAAAAAAAAAAAAAAAAAAAAAAAAAAAAAAAAAAAAAAAAAAAAAAAAAAAAAAAAAAAAAAAAAAAAAAAAGGAAATAGTAGAAAAGACTTCTAAAACAATCCGCAAACTGGGAGAAAATTTTTGCAAATCACATGTTCCATAAGAGACTTGTATCTAGGAGATATAAAACTCTTACAACTCAATAGTGAAAAGACAAATAGCCAAATTAAAAAATGGGCAAGGGTGACAACACCAAATGCTGGTGAGGAGGTGAAGCAACAGGAACTCTTTTTACTGGTAGGAATGCAAAATGGTACAGCAACTTTGGAAGACAATTTGGCTTTCTTACAAAACTAAACATACCCCTGTCATAAGATCCAGCCATTGCACGCCTTAGTGTTTACCCAAATGAGCTGAAAACTTATGTCCACACAGAAACCTGCACATGGATGTTTACAGCAGCTTCATTTGTAATTGCCAAAGCTTGAAAGCAACCAAGATGTCCTTCAACAGGTGAATGGATAAATAAACTATGGCATATCCAGACAATGGACTGTATTCAGCACTAGAAAGAAATGTGCTGTTAAGCCATGAAAAGGCATGGAGAAACCTTAAATGCATTACTAAGTGAGAGAAGCCAATCTGAAAAAGTTACATACTGTCTGATTCCAACTATGTTACATTCTGGAAAAGGCAAAACTGTGGAGACAGTAAAAATATCTTTGGTTGGCAGGGACTCGGAGTGGGGAGAAATGCACAGAGAATTTTTCAGGTAGTGAAATTACTCTGGATGAGTGGTGGATACATGTTATTACACATTTGCTTGAACCCAGGAGTTCAGGGCTGCCATAAACTATTAACCTAGCACTGTACTCCAGTACAGTTTTGCGTGACAAAAAATCAAAACACAAAATGTGGTGATACAGTTTGGATATTTGTCCCCTCCACAATCTCATGTCGAAATTTCATCCCTGGTGTTGGAGTTGAAGCCTGGTGGGAGGTGCTTGGGTCTTGGAGGCAGATCCCTCATGAATGGCTCAGCACCATCCCCTTGGTGATGAGTGAGTTCATGTGCAATCTGGTTGTTCAAAGGTGTGTGGCATCTCCCCCCTTACTCTCTCGCTCCTGCTGTCACCATGTGACATCCCTGCTCCCCCTTTTCTTCTGCTGTGATTGGAAGCTTCCTGAGGACCTCACCAGGAGCAGATGCTGGAGCCATGCTTGCACAGCCTGCCGAACTCTGAGCCAATGAAACCTCTTTTTTTATTTATTTTTATTTTTATTTTTTATTTTTTATTTATTTTTTTTGAGACGGAGTTTCGCTCTTGTTACCCAGGCTGGAGTGCAATGGCACGATCTCGGCTCACCGCAACCTCCGCCTCCTGGGTTCAGGCAATTCTCCTGCCTCAGCCTCCTGAGTCGCTGGGATTACAGGCACGCACCACCATGCCCAGCTAATTTTTTGTAGTTTTTTAGTAGAGACGGGGTTTCACCATGTTGACCAGGATGGTCTTGCTCTCTTGACCTCGTGATCCACCCGCCTCAGCCTCCCAAAGTGCTGGGATTACAGGCGTGAGCCACCGCGCCCGGCCTATTTTTATTTTTTTAAGAGAGTCTTGCTCTGTTGCCCAGGCTGGAGTGCAGTGGCATGATCTCAGCTCACTACAACCTCCACCTCCCGGGTTTAAGTGATTGTCCTGTCTCAGCCTCCCGAGTAGCTGGGATTACAGGCGCCAACCACTACACTTGGCTAATCTTTGTATTTTCAGTAGAGATGGGGTTTCACCATGTTGGTCAGGCTGATCTTGAACACCTGACCTCCAGTGATCCACCCACCTCAGCCTCCCAAATTGCTGGGATTACAGGCATGAGCCACTGTACCCTGCCTAAACCTCTTTTCTTTGTGAATCACCCAGCCTCAGGTATTTATAGCAGTGCAAGAAGGGCCTAATACATGTGGTGTCTCCATATAATGGATACTCTTCAGCAATGATGAACCCTGAAAAACGCTAAATGAAAAAAGCTAAACACAAATAGCACATATCATATTATTCTGTTTTTGTAAAGGATTCCAGAAAATAAAAATCTGTAGAGACAGAGGTAGACGAATGATGATCAGATGCTGAGAGTGAAAATGGGGAGTGAATGTGAAAGGCACAAGGTTTCCTTTTTTGGGGGGTTGATGGAGACAAAGGAGTCTCACTCTGTTGCCCAGGCTAGAGTGCAGTGGTGCAGTCTTGGCTTACTGCAACCTCTGACTCCTGGGTTCAAGCGATTCTCATGCCTCAGCCTCCCAAGTAGCTGGGATTACAGGCGTGCACCATCATGCCTGGCTAATTTTTGTATTTTTAGTAGAGACAGGGTTTCGCTATGTTGGCGGGACTGGTTTCAAACTCCTGACCTCAGGTGATTCGACTGTCTCAGCCTCCTAAAGTGCTGGGATTACAAGTGTGAGCCACCGTGCCCATCAAGGTTTCTTTTAAGGCTGATGGGAATTCTTTAAAATTAGTTTGTGGTGATAGTGTACAACTTTTAAAATATACTAAAATTCATCGAGTTGTACACTTAAAATGGGTGAATGACATATTTTATGGTATGTAAATTATGTCACAGTAAAGCCATTGAGAGGCGTCTTGCTCTGTGGCCCAGGCTGGAGTGCAGTGACACAATCTTGGCTCACCAGCAGCCTCCTCTTGAGATCCTTCCACCTCAGCCTCCCAAGTAGCTGGGACAATAGGCACATATCACCATGTCCAGCTAATTTTTTTGTATTACTTTGTAGAGACTGGGTCTCACCATGTTGCCCAGGCAGGTCTTGAACTCCTGGGATTAACCAATCCTCCCACCTTGGCCTCCCAAAGTGTTGAGATTACAGGTGTGAGCCACCTTGCTCTGCTATTTCTATAATTTTAACATTTCAAGAATATATAAATGAAGTCATACACTATATGACCTTTTGGCTAGGCTTTTTTTTTT